TGGCGTGAGACTGGTGGGTAGGCTAAGGAGGTTACAAAGTGGGACAGAGGCAGTTACTCATACAGTGACAGCTTTATAGCTTAGCCTTGAAAGAAAACAGAATCCTAAGAGAACAGGATGTCTCAGGACCTTGTGTACAGGAACAGGGTTGGTAATCTTACCTGTGCTGGGGAGAGGATGGCAGCCACAAGGAAGGAGGGAGTCCGAGGGGGAAGTGCTCAAGGCTGGGAAAACTTACTTTTCTCCGAGTTCTGCTTTAGTTTGATTTGTATTTTAGGAAGGGCTTTTCTTTTTCTGGTTCTCACATTCCAGAAGTTCTTAATATTAATAACATTAGAAGTTATTTCTAAACTTCATCGAGATTTTTTTTTTTGGTACTGGGGATCAAACTCGGGACCTTGCGCTTGGGAGGCAGGTGGCGAAACCACTGAGCTAAATCCCCGGCCCCTTCATTGGCCCCTTCATTGAGATTTTGACCTGGCTCATACTGAGTCTGTAGGTTGCTTTGAGTAGTATTGGCCTCTTAACCTTTTTTTCTTTTTTTCTTTCTTAATATGGTACTGGGGATTGACCTCAGGGCCTTGGCATTGAGCTACATCCTCAGCCCCTTTTTATTTTATTTTATTTTATTTTATTTTTACTTCTTATTTTGAGACAAGGTCTTGAAAAATAGCTAAATTGCTCAGGTTGGGCTTGAATTTACAATCTTCCTGCCTCAGCCTCCCAGAGTGCTGGGATTACAGGTGTATACCACTATGCTAAACTAATATCATCATAATCCTAAAGCTCATCCATGAACATGGGTGTTTTCATTTATTTATGTCTCTTTTAATTTCTTTCCCCAATGTTTTTTCTTTTGCTGTTGTTTGGTGTTTGTTGTTGTCATTGTTGTTTTGAAACAAGGTCTCACTATGTAGTTCAGGCTGGCCTTGAACTCACTATGTACCCCAGCTGGCTTCAAACTTTCAGCAATCCTCCTGTTTCAGCCTCCCAAGTATTGGAATTACATGCATACACCACCACACCTGGCTCTTTTCACAATATTTTGTAGCTTTCATCAGAAAAAACTTTTACACCCTTGATTAGATTAATTCCTGGGTATTTTATTCTTTCTTATGCTATTGTAAATGGGGTTTTTTCATAATTTCCTTTTCAGATTTTTATTGTTAATATATACGAATGCAAATTATTTCTGTGTGTTGACCTTGTATCCTGCTGTTTTGTTGAATTATTTTATTACCCCTAAAGTTTTTGTTTTGTTTTGTTGTTTTTGTAGTGCTGGGGATTGTTTTTGTAGTGCCAGGCCTTGTGAATACTGGACAGATGTTCTGGCACTGAGCCACATCCCCAGCCCTAAATGAAATTATTTTCACCAGGCATGGTGATGCATGCCTGTAATTTCAACACTTGGGAGACTGAGGCAGGAGGATCACCACAAGTTTGAGGCCAGCCTGGGCTACATAGTGAGTTCAGGGACAGCCTGAACTACATAGTGAGACCCTACCTCAAAACAACAACAACAACAAAACACAACAGCAAGACCCTGTCTCCAAAAAAATTAAAACAGAATGAAAACAAAAAGAAATTATTGGGCCGGGGATTTAGCTCAGTTCTGCCGCCTGCCTCACAAGTGCAAGGTCCTGAGTTCAATCCCTGGTACCAAAAATAAAATAAGATAAAAAAGAGAAATTATTTTCTTCACTTCATTTTCAAGTTATTCATTGTAACTGTATAGAAATTCCATTGAATTTTGTATATTGATCTTATATCCTGCAACTTTGCTAAATTCATTAGTTCTTATGCTTTTTGGTTTGTAGAATCTTTGGGATTTTCTATAATAAGATCATGATACCAATTGATAGAAATTATTTCACTTCTTCCTTTCTAACCTGGATATTTTTATTTTAATTCCCTGCTTAATTTTTCTGGCTAGAACTTCCAGTGCAGTATTGACTAGAAATAGCATCTTTGTCTTATTCTGTCTTTTAGGAGTTGTGTGTACTTCCCACACACATACACACCGGGGATCAAACTCAAAACCTTGCACTTGCCAGGCAGGCACAGTGCCACTGAGCTACATCCCCTGCCCTGTATGTCCTCTTTTAAACACTTTTTTTTTTCAAAATAATAGTAGGGATTTAACCCAGAGGCACTCAACCACCAAGCTACATCCCCATTCCTTTTTTAAAGTTTTTGAGGGCTAGGGTTGTGGCTCAGTGGCAGAGTGCTTGCCTGGCATGTCTGAGGGCCTGGGTTCCATCCCCAGTAACACCAAAACAAAAATAGTTTTGGTTTTTGGTACCGGGGATCGAACTCAGGACTTTGCACTCACCAGGCAGACTGCGGTGCCACTGAGCTAAATCCCCAGCTGTTTTGTTCTGTTTTGTTTGTTTGTTTGTTTTTTGGTACTGGGGATCCAACTCGGGACCTTGTGCTTGAGAAGCAGGGAGTGGCACCACTGAGCTAAATCCCAGCCCTTGTTCTATTTTTCGTACCAGGGATCTAACTCAGGACCTTGAGCTTGCCAGGCAGGCATGGCACTGCTGAGCTACATCCCAGGCCCTACAAATAAAGCTTTTGAGACAGGGTCTTTCTTTTCTTTTTTTTTTTTTTGAGACAGGGTCTTTCTAAAGTTGCAAAGAAGGTCTAAAACTTGCAATCCTCCTGCTTCAGCCTCCTGAGTAGCTGGGATTATAGGCATGCCCACCACACCTGGCCAAACATTTTTAGTATATGTGCTGCCAAAGCAAGTACCAATTTACACCATTTTAATTACAATTACTTTTCTAAATTATTTTGCAGTAGGCCGGGGATTTAGCTCAGGGGCACTGCGCCTGGCTTGCAAACACAAGGTCCTGAGTTCGATCCCCAGTACCAAAAAATAAAAAATAAATAAATAAAATAAATTATTTTGCAGTATACATTACCTGAGTACAGAAGTAAAGGTTATATTTATACAGTAAATGTTTTATCTTGTTAGTTTGCTAAATTAATTGATCAGTCCTTTGTAATCTTTTTTTTTTTTACTCTAGGATCTTGTACATAAACAATTTATTCATTTTGCAGTGCTGGAGATTGAACCCAGGGCCTCCCACATTATGTTGTTTTTAAGTAAATGTTCTATATTTTCCATTCTACTTTTATGATATTTATTTTTTATTCTTCCCTACTGTTCTAACTCAAACTACAGTACATTGCTTAAAAAGTGGGAAAAACGGGCTGGGGATGTAGCTCAGTGATTCCGCCACCTGCCTCGCTAGTGCAAGGACCTGAGTTCAATCCCCAGTACAAAAAAAAAAGTGGGAAAAACAGACATTCTTGCTTTTTGATGCAGGCAAGGTGCCACTGAGCTAAATCCTGGGCCCAATTTTTTTTTTTTTTTTTTGAGACATGTTCTTGCTGTGTAGTTCAAGCTGGCCTTGAATCCATTATGTAGCCCAGGCTGGCCTTGAACTTGAAGCAGTCCTCCTGCATTAGCCTCCCAAGTGCTGAGATTCCAGCGTGCCCCACCACATCCAGCCTGATAAGTTTTTTTTTCCTGGCCTGGTAAATTTTTTTTTTGTACCAGGAATCGAACTCTGGACCTCGTGCTTGTAAGGCAGGCCGAGGAACCACTGAGCTAAATTCCCACCCCTGGCCTGGTAAATTTTAAGAGAAAGGAGCCTCATGTTATTCCTTTCAGATAGATAGAAACCATAGAGTCCTAGAGATTTTCAGGAATTTAGGTTTCAGTGAGGGACTCCTTTGCACCGAGTTCTTTTTTCTTCCAGTTTTGGCAGTGTGTCCCTGAACACCCACTCCCCTCATTTCATCTGTCTTTGCTCATTTGTGAGGGGCCACTCCTGTGAATTAAAGGGAGTGAAAAAAAAAAGGGGGAAAGGACTCTGGACTCCTCCCTGGGGCTGCTCTCTTTGACTGTCTGCCAAAGGTGAGTGACAGCGTTGGAGAAAACTCTATGACATAAAGATATTTGGAGATTTACACAGAAAGTATTAGGTGCCTTCTTCCCCTTATTTCGGACTAACACATGCCTAAAGCTAAGATGAAGCCCAGTTCCTATAATTTTGGTTAGATTTGGAAAAAGTTACTGCTCAGATGATAAGTATGTTTTTGTTTTATTTCTTTATGGTTTTTTGTTGGGGGGGGGGCTTTCTCTTTTTTTGGTACAGGAGATTGAACTCAGGACTTTCCACTCACCAGGCAGGTGTGGCACCACTGAGCTAAATCCCCAGCCCTTTTTTAGCTTTTTGAGACAGGGTTTCACTATGTAATTCAAGCTGGCCTTGAACTCGTGATCTTCCTGCCTCAGCCACCCTAATGCTAGGATTACAGGTGTGTGCCACCATGCCTGGAAATAAAATGTTTTATCTGTATTTTGCATTGGAATTAGAAAAGTGAAAAATAAAAGTTGCTCTGATTTGTTCTGACTTTTCACTCTGTCCAGTTTCTTTGCCCCACCACCCAGTGTATTATTGAGGCCATCCTCTTAAGTGAAATAAATAGGACACACATGTAAATACAGAATAGTTTCTCTAGTGTGAGAAACTGAAAGTGTAAATAAGGACTAAAAGGTATAATGGATAATGTGAAACAGGAAGAAAAGGGGCAAAGGAGAAGGGGAAGTGGGAGGAGTAGGGGAAAGGAAAGAAGAAAATGGAATTAATAAGAGAAAAGGAAAAAATGGAAACAGTCTTTGTAAATAGGGAGGGATGGAGGGGTTGAAGGGAGGGCAGGGGAAGGGGGAAAAATAAGAACCAAGAGAGATTATGTAAAGATGCAAATTTCCAATGATGAATATCATATTGTATACCAAAAAAAAAAAAAAATGCTTTCGGGGCTCCTTACCAACAATCCCTCAACTTTTGCCTTACTCTTTCTCCCCTCCAGAAGATACAGAACACCTTTTCCTCATCTCATCTCTAAGTCTAGGTTAAATCTTAGGACAATAAGGATATGAGGTAGGACTATCAGAGCCAAAAGGGAAAGGTCAGTTTGTCAGCATGGGGCAAAGGTGAGACAGACAAAGTCTGTTCCAGGAAGAGATGGATAAATATTTGTAAATGCTGCACTATTTTGGAAGCTGCTGGCTTTCTGGCTGCCTCGTGATTCTGGTTGGGTTAAAGGAGGAGGGGTTAAAAACAATAGTCACTCATCATGAAGATAACCAAGCAAACAAGATGTTTAGACTGTCTTCTTCCTCTGGCTTTCCCCCGTGCTGAAACCTGTGAGGATCTCCCATATTTTTCAAGAATACAGATGAAGCCAGGGGTGGGGGTGCAGACTTGTAATACCAGGACTTAGGAGACTGAGGCAAGAGGATCTCCACAAATTTGAAGCCAGCCTGGGCCACATACTTTAAGGCCAGCCAGAACTGTATAGCAAGACCCTGTCTCAAACAAAATAAAACAAAAAGCAAAGCAACAAGAAAAAGTATAGGTAAAGTCATGTCCAAGGTAACTGATGTCTCCAAGGACCACAACACTTCCTAGCTCTGACTAGTCTTGTGTCTTTGTCCTGAGCCTTTCCCCACCTCTCCACCTGAGCACTGCTCCTTCCAGCAGCCCTGTCCTGCAGAGCAATCATGACCCAGCCCAAATCACTGTGGTTTGTTTTGCTCTCCGTTGGTGGCTGCCTTTCTGGGAAGTGCCCAGAATGGGGCTCTCTTCCTCCAGCCGTCTCTCATGGAGACTGGGCCTCTGCCACACATGCTTGCCAGCCAGATCCAAGCACCTGCCAGGATCCCTTACACACGTTCCCCTCCTTACCCTTGCCTGAGTACATGTTCACAAGTCAGAGTGGCCTAGGAGGAGGTTGGCTCACCTCTGAGGCTCACTATCTGCAGCTCCAGCTGGTTAGGTTGGGCGGAAAGTGTGTCACTGAAACCCTCAGCCCAGAGTTTCATAAGCACCCTGAATGGCTCCAGGGATTTAGCTCAGTGGTTCTGGGGCACCTGCCTCTAAAGCCCAAGGTCCCGAGTTCGATCTGCAGTACCAAAAAAAAAAAGCACAGTGAAGAGATTGGTAATAAGGATTTGATGGTCCCTCAGGGAAGCAGGAGCAAACCTAACACTCAATTGCCCACCCTGAGGAATGTATTGGTGGCAAACATGCCCGCTGGGGTGGTTGATCTGCCAGTTAACTCAGATGATAATCGAGTCTGCTAAAAAGCCATCTCTCATTTTCCTGACATCACAGTTTAAAGCTTTTGTGGCCAAAATCACCCAGAATTGCAGGTATGAGTCTGGGAGCACACTAAAGAATTACACAAAAAGCTAAAAAACCTCCCAAGCTAATAATATTCAGTGTTCACACACAATGACAATATAATTGATCAAATGTTCCACAGTTACTCTGAAGTGCTTTATGAAGAAAATGATTCAAGAATTTGTTCAGGCTTACTTCAGATATTCAATGTCACATAGATAACAACTCTTTCCTAGGAATATGTTCAAGGGCGGGACATGGTGAGTAGTGTTAGACAGCATTTAGGACAGACATGTGCTCTACTTCATCCCTTGCTGAATTTCATCGTGTAACTCATGTTGGCCTTATCATTCTTCATTTAGCAGCTAGTAGCCGCTCTTTTCTTTCCTTTTTTTTCTTTTTGGTACTGAGGATTGAACTCAGGATCTTTACCCTAAGCTACAATCCCCAGCCCTTTTCTAAATTTATTTTATTTAAAATTTTTTTAAAACATTCTCTCTCTGGGCCAGGGATTTAGCTCAGTGGTGCCACCACCTGCCTCGAAAGTGGAAGGTCCCGAGTTCAATCCCCGGTACCAAAAAAAAAAAAAATTCTTGCTTAGTCATGAAGGTGCCCCGGCTGGACTCTATATTGAGATCCTCTTGCCTTATCCGCCCAGGCAAGCACTACCATCCTTTTTTTCTTTTTTCTTTTATTAGTGTGTGTTAATATTACACGATGATGGGGTTTACTTTGGGAAGTTGTTACATGGTACATGCATTTAATACATCTCAACTAGTTCAGTCCCATTACCTCCCTCACTCTTTCTTTTCTCCTCTCTCCTGCTTGTCTCCTGAATTCTACCTCCTGGTTTCCTGTCCTCTCTCTTTAACTATTTCATTAATTAATTTGGTTTCTCATATAAGAGAACTCACATGATATTTAACTTTCTGAGCTGAGTCTGGCTAATTTCACAAAAAATGATAGTTTTATCCCATCACACCACAGTATTTCTTAAGCCATTTTGTCCTTTCTTTTAGTCATCAAATATGATGCATTTAATATGTATTAGGCATGAGAGGCATTTTAACCTGTCCCATTCATCACCCTTACACTTTCTAAATCTCCAGCTAGATGCTACAGCTTCTTTTTTTTTTTTTTTTTTTTTTGGTGACAGCTTCTTAATCTAATTTTTAAACTGAAAAGAAAATGAGAATCATAAACATGCAACCTCTCCTGATTCTGGACATCCTTAGTTCCTGTCATGAGGTTAGGAACATGGCAGAGACATAGGAAAGGTCAAAGAGCAACGTTTTAGGTACTGAGGTGAGTGTGACAAGGGAACAAGGTCTGAGCAGCCAGCATAAGTGGGCAAATATTTGCAGAGGTTGCATTCCTTACTGATCACAAAGGAAAGCAAATATCTCCTTTTTCCACAGGACAGAGACCTGGACAGAGCAGAACTGAGAAGCAACTGAATCTACAAGGCAGCCTCACTTCTCAGTGACTGGACTGTGTGGTAAACTGGGGTTCCTATAAGTGGGTGGAGATAAACCAGGAAGTCCTTGGGCCATTTATTTATTTATTTATTTATTTATTTTGGGGGGTGTTTTTGGTATCGGGGATCGAACTCTGGTCCTTGCGCTTGTGCAGCAGGTGGCGAAACCACTGAGCTAAATCCCCGGCCCCCTTGTGCCCTTTAAATGAGGAGAGACCAAGTGGGAGCAATTGTGTTGTGTTTCCCATTTCCTAGGTCTTAAGCTAAAAAGAGCAGAAGCTTGGAAGTAGGTGATTGATGAAGTGTCCCTGGTGTAGTCTTCATTCAGACCACAGCCTTTAGAGAAATGGCTTCTAAATTCTGGGTTTCTCCCCTTTCCAGGGTACTCTGTGCCAGACATGCGTAGCCTCAGGCTCATCATGATACCAGTTGGCCTTCTTTGCTACTTCCCGCTACACCCTGTGGATGCCATTCCATACAGAAAGCAGACAAATGCCTCAGCACCTCTTGTCTCAGCCTCGGGATCCCAACCACCCTCCTCATACCCCTTTTCCTGCGAAGCCCTGCTCCCGAAGTCCCTACCTGGCTTCACCCACATGGCCCTTCTGCCCAAGTTCCTGGTAGGGTTGGCTCTAAGGAATGCCCTGGAGGAAGCTGGCTGTCAGGCTGACTTCCGGGCCCTGGAGCTTCAGCTTTACCGCTGGGGTGGTCTGAACGCTACACGGGCTCTCATCCGCCACCTTCAAGGGCTCCAGAAAGGCAGAAGCACAGACAGCAGCAAGTCAGTAGAAGCCCTGGCCTCCGCTCTGCATCTGTTAGCCAGGGAGCACTCGAAGAGGATCCGGCGCTCCCCTACCAACAAGGACTGTGAGAACACGCGGGAGGAGAGCATATACAATGTCATCCGGGTGTTGCCAGGAGTGGGAACCTATTACAATCTGGGCACGGCTTTGTATTATGCGATTCAGAATTGCTCAGACAAGGCCAAGGAACGAGGTAAAGACGGTGCCATAGATCTGGGTTATGACCTTCTGCTAGCCATGGCAGGAATGTCAGGGGGGCCCATAGGTGTAGCGGTCAGTGCTTCACTTAAACCAGCATTGAAGGCTGGGGTAGAGCACTTGATCCGGTATTACTATGAAGAGAAAGCGGCAAGCACGCTTCAGCCAGCGACCAGCAGGGCTGGCTTGTGGACCACCTCCTACGTGAGTGACTCGGAAGAAACAATGACCACAGTTCCTCTCACATCCCAAGAAGCAAGTCCAGCTCCCTACTGGAAGTGGTCCTCATTCAACATCTATGGACATGTTGCGGTGTGAAGGTGGTAACCAAAGAACGAATAAATCAGACATTCTGACATGCTGTACAGGATTGGTGTGTTCTCAAAATATAAATTTCTTGGGGGTGGGGGTGGAATCCAAATCTTTGATTTGTTATCTAGAAAGAAGGCACTGCTGTAAAATGTAGGAATTTCAAAGTCTGGGGTATGGAATGAGATTTGGCTTGGAATCCAGTCTCTACTTGTTAGTGCCTCAGTCATTACTGACTAGTGACTTCTTTCTTAAAGCTCAGTTTTAAAATTTCTAAAGTGGAGATGATTTTTCACCTGAACAGGTTGCTGTAGCAATTAAAAACGATAAACCTAGTGCAATCACCACTGTAACCTTAACAAATCATTACTATTAAAGCCAGGCGTGGTGGCGCACAAGTCTAATCGCAGCACTCAGGAGGCTGAGGCAGGAGGATTGAAGCGAGTTCAAGGCCAGCCTGAACTACTTAGCGAGACCCTTTCTCAAGAGGAATCAAGATATATTATGTACAGGTACAAATTCCACATGACGAATGTGATCATTATGTATAACTAAAAGTATACCAATAAAATTAATTTTTAAAAAAATCATTACTTGGTTTTTTTGTTTGTTTGTTTGTTTGTTTCACCTCAGCCCTTCTTTCCCCATCCCAAAGTGTCAAAATTCCGATCCCGCCCCTTCCCATGGAGCCCTGGGTGCCTCCGCGGTTCCCGTTAGTTTCGGTTCTGGCCTCCAGGCGTGCGGGTTCTCGAAAATCAGCTGTTTGCAGCCTGGGTGTTCCTTGTATTGGAAACCCGCCCCCGGCACGGGAGGGATTTGGGCTTCCCCACCAATCACTGGAGCTAGAAGTGTGGCTTGGTCCTGGATTGGGCGCGATTTATCCCGCCCATCGGGGGCGGAGTTGTGGAGGCGCCAATAATCTCACATCTTGGGAAGAGCTTGGCTGAGTGGCAGACAGTGCAGGGTTGCGGATTGGGAAAAGCGATCTCCCAGCTATCCCGCTACACTTGTAAGGTTAGTCGAAGTGGTGGGCGAGGCAGAGAGCCTCGGCGCCTCAGCTGTTTGAGGATGGGAAGTCGCGGCCAGAACTCTGTGTGAAGAGGAGAGGTCGGGGCCAGAGATACTGGAGGGAGCTGGTACTGCGACTCTCACAAGGTACAGACCCCAGAGTGTGTGCGGGGAGGGGTGGAGGTGGGAGGTCTTCCCTGCGGAGGGCGACTGACACAGGGCACAGGCCCGAAAGGGGCAGATTCTGACCTCTGCTTGAAATAGGAGCTCTGTTCTACTCCGTTTTGGATTTTGCTCTCCTATCTAGCCCAGCAAACCCTAGCGCTCCCCTCCCAAAACTACCTTGCAGTCTCCTGGACCTGAAACCTGGCAGTAATACCGGGTCTGATGTTTTCTAAAGGTTTTGCCTCTGCTCTGCGTTACTTTCAATCTTTACGGATAAATGCCCAAAGGTATTATACCTGTCTATATATAAGAGAGTGCACGCTTCTGAAAGCTGAAACGATTTGCTTAAGGATACAAAATCTAGTTCATTTTAGGAGAAAAAATTCTTATCGAGTGCATAATATGTGCCCAAGAGAGCGAGAAAGAAAACAAATTAAGTGAGTCCTAAAGTTCTGTGTGCAATATACATACTTGGGGAGAACGTTTGCTTTTCCTTTTTTTTTCATATTTAAATCTCAGAGTTTACTTGCTGCTTTGCTGCCTTAATACCAGCCACTGAGTTCTTCAAAAATGGGGTTCTTGGGTTGCGAGTACAGCTCAGTGGTAGAGTACTTGTAGTATGTGCAAGGCCCTAGGTGGGTCCCCAGCCCCCTCGGAAAAAAAAAAAAAGAATGAAAAGAAAAATCAAGCACTACTTAAAGAATTACAGTGCAAAGCAGAAGCTCCTGCCCAATCCCCACCTTTCTTTGGTTCATAATAAAATCAAACAACTTTTAAAAAACACAGATGTTCCTGTTTGCTCTGTTCTGTTAGGCTCGTGCTGCAGCAAGAATAAGTTTTAATTTCCTTAACATGTCAGATGACAGTGGTCAGGAGAAGGTGAGGAGAAAGATGCATGACCCAACCCTCCTGGTGACAGGCAAAAACATGGTTTTGTTTGAAATTTCTGTGTTTGCACAAAGTTGATAAGCCACACACAGAATCAGAGGTTTACAGAGGTCATAAAAATGTTAGTCTTAGGTACTGAGTGATGCTCACGGTATTTAGACATCATCTAGAATCGAGCCTCTTCTTTCTACTTGGTGGGGAGTTTGTAGATTGTATTTACTTTACCTTGAAGGTTTCGACCCTTAGAAAAGCTTCAAGGCCAGCAGGGATCATAAATATTTAAGACCAACACTGATCTTTGCCCCAGCATAAACATAAACAAATAAATTTAAAATGAATCAGAGATAGATGAAATAAGACAGTGGAAATATTATTTATTGAAGTTGGATGATGGGTACATGGATGATCCTTGTACTATTCATTCTACTTCTATGTTTGAAAATTACCATTAAAAACCAGGTATAGCCAGGGATTTAGCTCAGTGGCACCACTCCAGTTTGATCCCTGGTACTGAAAAAAAAAAAAGTGATCAGGTACAAGACATAAATCAAAAAGATTCTTACCCAATAAAAACAACAACAAAAACAACCAGGTATAGTGGGACACATTTGTGATCTCAGCACTCTGGGAGGCTGAGGGAGGAGGGCAGGAGGATTGCAAGTTCAAGCCCTCAGCCTGGGCAACTTTAGTGACTTAGGAGGACCTTATCTCAAAAACAAAATATTTTCATCCCCAGTACCAAAAAACAAAACAAAACAAAACAAAGTTTTTTAAAAGGGCTGGAGGTGTAGTTTAGTGTAAAGCTCCTGAGTTTAATACCAAGTACCACTAACTAAATAAATATAAAATTACCATTAAAACAAAAAGAGTCATGGATTGGAGCTATTAAACAGTACTCCCTGGAAGAATATGTACCAAACCATAACAGTGGTCTTTTCTGGGAGAGGAAGGGGTAGGACCAAGACTGGGAGTTGAGTCAATGTAGACTTTAATATTTTCTGTATTTTTTTACTTGTGTATGATTTAGTCCAGCAAAATATCCAATTGAGAATCCACACCCTTTCAACTCTGAACCCAAATGGCTCAGTGGGAGAGACTGCAGAACATTGATAGCCCGTTTCAGGACCAGCTGGACCAACTGTACTTACACAGCCTCCTTCCAGTGGACATCCGACAGCACTTGGCTGTCTGGATTGAAGACCAGAACTGGTGAGGGTTTCAGGAGTCAGGAGGATGAGGAAGGTGCTTCCTTTCTTTGAGTTCCCAGGATCCTGGAGGGATCTCATAAGGGGTTGAAAGGCCTTAGGACAGCAGCTCCCTCACAGAGACATTAATCCCTGTCATTTCTGGTCCCCAGGAAGGAAGCTGCACTAGGCAATGATAATTCCAAGGCCAACATGCTATTCTTCCAGTTTGTGGACCAACTGAACAATGAATGTGGCCGCTGCAGCCAAGACCCTGAGTGCTTACTGTTACAGCACAACCTGCGGAAATTCTGCCGGGACATTCAGGTACTTGGAGGAAATGTGAATAATGAGGAGGACTGGCAGCCACGTGTAGAGTAAACTTGGGGGTGTGTTACCTGGAGGTGCAAAGGGAAGGGGGTGGATCCGGGGAAAGAGGGACAGCATCTAGACTTGGAGGAATCACTGGCAGACAGAAGGGCAGAGTCTAGATGACACTGTTGGGAGAATGTGTGGTTTGGGGTGAAAAGGAACAGGGGTAGAAACTCTGAAGGAGGGAAAAACACTGGGGACATTAGTGGGAGGGAGTAGAGTGGCAGGTTATTGAAGGTGGTTGTATTAAATTAATTTTCCTTGTTTTCTTACTCTAGGCCTTACCCCAGGGCTCTACCCAGTTGGCTGAGATGATGTTTAATCTCCTTCTGGAAGAAAAAAGAATTCTGAACCAGGCTCAGAGGGCTGAAGTGGTGAGAACAACTTGGTGGTGTTGTTGGAAGCTCCTGGAGTAGATAGGGACCATGGAAAAGATTCAGGGAATTTGTCTCAGAACAGAATTCCCCCATATCCTATGATATAATTTCAGGCCTGGATTTTAGGGATGAAAGGTCAGAGTTGAAATATGCTCAGAGCCTCTTATTTCAGGAACAAGGAAATACAACTCTTGAAGTACCCGTGGAGAGCCAGCAGTCTGAGATTGAATCCCGGATCCTGGATTTAAGGGCTATGATGGAGGTTGGTCTATGGCAAGAGATGGGGTGGGCAGGTCTCACCCTACCTCATCTGTCAGAAGCAGCCTCATCGGGGTTCCATCCCTGCTGCAGATGCTGGTGAAGTCCATCAGACAACTGAAAGACCTTCACGATGTCTTCAGCTTCCGATACATGATACTCGAAAAAGGTAAGAAGTGCACAAAGGGGTGGGAGAGAGGACAGGTATCTGCTGGGAGGCTAAGGGTGGAGGAGGACAAAAGGGGAACGCACCAGTAGACAGTAGTCACCTTTGGCCATATCCCACAGACTACATTCCTGCTGCCATGCAGAGCTCAGAGTGCCAGGTGTGTTTTGGAGGTTGGGCTGGATGCAGGAGAGGGAAGCTAATGGGTGTTGGAGGAAATGGAAAACTGCCTTAGCTCGTGGGTTGGGCTTCTGGTCCACTCAGAGTTGCTCAGGGTGCCTATCCTTTGGTTGGTTTTCCCTTCTCCCTCCGAAGATTCCCCTTTCTGGTTTTGACTGAGGCCCCAGGGCAGGAAGGAGAGGGGAGGAGCCCCTGGTCTGACCCCCACTCCTGCCGTTCAGGGAAGACATCCTCCTCAGACCCGAATCAAAGCAAACAGCTACAGCTTGTGCAAGAAACTCTTAATGAACTGGACAAGAGGAGAAAGGTACGAGGCAGAGGATGGAGTGGGCGGAAGGGAACTGGGAAAACAGAGGAATCTGGGGGCCCTGGGCCATTGGCCTGGGCTTCTTTTCCTCTTCATCCGCAGTTGGAGGGTGAAAGCGATGGAACAGGTGCTCGGCACTCACACTGGCTCTCTCCTAGGAGGTGCTGGATGCCACCAAAGCACTGCTAGGCCGATTGACCACCCTCGTTGAGCTACTGATTCCAAAGTTGAATGAGTGGAAAGCCCAGCAGCAAAAAGCCTGCATTGGAGCACCGCTAAAGCTTGGGTTGGAAGAGCTGGAGAAGTGGTGAGAGGAGATACATTTTCTACAGGTTCTCATACACACCTCAACCTTGTCCCAGCCACTCCATGTATTCTGTAGGCTGTAATGCCCTCAATACGCAGGAGCTCTTGCTCTCACTGATCTGCTCCCCAGGGTGAGCCCAGATTGCTGGTGTGACTGTAGCTGTCCTCTGCTTTTTATCCTTACCACTCAGGGATCCCAGAGCCCAGGCTTAGCTTTGGTGAAAACAATGGATTAATCCATAGCCTGATTTCACACTAAACTATATCCCCAGTCCTTTAAAAAAATTTGTTACTTTAGGGCTGGGGATTTAGCTCAGTGGCACCATACCTGCCTTGCAAGTGCAAGGTCCTGAGTTTGATCCTCAGTACCAAAAAAAATAAGAAAAAATTGTTACTTTATTTTATTTTATTTTGGGGGGGAGGTTGAGACAGGGTCTCACTTTATAGTTCAGGCTGGTCTTGAACTCACTGTGTAGTCCAGGCTGACCTCAAACTCATGGTGATCCTCCTGCCTCAGCCTCCCGATAAAATTTGTTGCTTTGAGACTAGGTTTCACTAAGTAACTGAGTTGTCAAGGCTGAGCTTGAAGTCAGGATCGTCCTTGCCTCAGCCTCTCATGGTGCTGGGATTTTAGGAGTGTGCAAGCACACGGGGCTTCCTTTTTTTGCTGAGGACGCTTTTATTTTTTGAGACAGGGTTTCATTATGTAGCCCAGGCCAACCTCGAACTCATAGCCATCCTCTGCCCTCAGCCTCCTGAGTGCTGGGACTACAGGTATGCGTCACCACACCCAGCTAGGGCTGACTCAGTAGATCACAGTGAAGGAGATGCTCTGGTACATATGAAATGCTGAATCATTTTATCATGATGTGGAAAAAATTTCTAATACATTCTTTAACTTTCTTGCAAAATACCAGCTCAATAGGCAGGCATGATGGTGCACACCTGAAATCCCAGCACTCACAAGGCTGAGAGAGGAGGATCACTGTGAATTCAAGATCGGCCTGGTCTACATGGCAAGACCCTGTCTCAACAGGAAAAAAAAACCCAATGCAAATATTTTCTCATAAGAAAATTTATTATAATTTAAACTTTTCAAAATATACCATTTTTGACTTTTTTTTCTTTGGTACTGGGGATCGAACTCAGGTCCTTGCGCTTGCGAAGCAGGTGGCAAAACCACTGAGCTAAATCCCCGTCCCAAAATATACCATTTTTAAAAACATAATTTTTCAGATAAGTTTAAAAACAGATATATAGAGCCAGGCATGGTGGCATATGTGTGTAATCCCAGCACTCGGGAAGCTGAGGCAGGAGGATCCCCATGAGTTCGAGGCCAGCCTGGGCTTCATAGTGAGTTCAAGGTCAGCTTGAACTACATAGACCCTGTCTCAAAAAACCAAATACGTACATACACTGTATATACATACTCACTGTACATAAATATATACATACATGCATACATACATGCAGATAAATAGTGCTACGAATAGGACCAATATTTAAATTGCAGTTGTCAGCATATTCATCACTATACAAGGGCTGACTAATGAGGGCCTGCAGGTAGTTTCTTGCTTTTTTTTTTTTTTTTTTTTTAAGTACCGGGGGTTGAACTCAGGACCTTGTGCTTTCGAGGCAGAGGGCAACACCACTGAGCTAAATCCCTGGCCCAGTTTCTTGCTATTTTAAATAGTGATACAGTAACTATCCTTTTACTATATCTTGGTTTGTATCCCTGATTATTTCTGTACTCTAAATTCCCAGGAGATGCTATGTATCCCATGCTGGCCTTCTGGGTTAAATACATACTACTTTTTCTCTGGGTGGTGACATTATTATAGTGTTGGTCCTTTGTTTCTTTCTTATTTTGATTTTCCTTAATAGTACTGGGGATTGAACCCAGTGCCTACACAGAGTTACATCCCCAGGCTTTTGTACTTCTTTAAGTTTTGAGACAGGATCTTGCTAAGTTTCCCAGGGGATGTAGCTCTGATGGCACACTCACCTAGTATGTATAAGGCCTGGGTTTGATCCCCAGCACTGCAAGAAACAGAACAAAACAACAGCAGGTGTGCTTGTGCACACCTGTAATCCCAGCCCTCAGAAGGCTGAAGCAGGAGGCTTGCCATGAGTTCGAGGCCAGCCTGAGCTACATAGTGAGATCCTGTCTCAAAAAAACAAACAGGGCTGGGGATTTAGCCTGCCTCGCAAGCGCAAGGTCCCAAGTTTGATCCCTGGTACCAAAACAAACAAACAAACAGGGCTGGGGATTTAGCTCAGTGGTTTCGCCGCCTGCCACAAAAGCACAGGGACCCGAGTTCAATCCCCCTGCCTCGAAAGCACAAGGACCCGAGTTTGATCCCCAGCACCAAAACAAAACAAAACAAACAAAAAAACACTTCTGCAGTGACTGCCTGGGATCACATATAAATGTCATCACTTACTAGTTATAGGACTTTGAGCAAGTCACTTAACCTTTTGTACCTCTCTTTTATCACCTATAAAATGGGCCTAGTAATAGCACCTACCTCATGGGTTGGTTGTGAAGATCAAATGCACTAATCCGTGTTAAGCATTGGTATAAATCATATATAGAGAGCATTATATGAAAGTTAACTGTTATGTAAATAAACCTTTTATGAGTTATGTATGTGAAAATGGCTTTCATTTACATCTCTTGCACTATGAATCATGTTACATACTTCTTGGATTCTCCTTTTGTCCGAGTTTCCAACTGTCCACATAGTTAAGGGAGAGCTCTCAAAACCTGAGTGGGGCCCCTGGAAATACACGGATTCCCTTTCCTTGGATTCTCCTCCCACCCACCCACCCCGTACCAGGGATCAAGCTCAGGACCTTGTGCTTGAGCTAAATCCCCGGCCCTCCTTTCCTTGGATTCTGTCTCCCAGGTTCACAGCTGGAGCAGAGCTGTTGTTTCACCTGAGGCAGCTGCTGAAACAGCTGAAGGAACTGAGCGACATGGTTCACTATGAAGGTGACCATCTGAAGGAAGGGGTAGAGCTGCTGAATGCCCAGGTCACAGAGCTGCTACAGTATCTGCTGGACAGGTCTGGAGGGAAAGAAAGAGGGAAGGAACAAAGGGAAACATTCTTACAGATACTGAGCAGTGTATTCTCTCTACTCCTGTCTCTCCAGGGCCTTTGTGGTGGAAAAACAGCCCTGCATGCCACAGACACCCCATCGGCCCCTTATCATAAAGACTGGGAGCAAGTTCACTGTCCGAACCAGGTTGCATTTCACTCACGCTTCCACTGTGTCCCTGGTTTTACAGATCTTCTAGCTCATGATCTTCTCCCTTTCTCCTTGATTCACCTACCTTTTAAAAATCATTACCCTTATCTTTTTTGTTTTGTTTTTTTGAGACAGGGTCTCACTTTGTAGTTCAGGCTGGCCTTGAACTCACTGTGTAGTCCAGGCTGGCCTCAAACTCATGTGCCACCACATCCAGCTAGACCCTGCATTCATTCATTCATTCGCTTTCTTTCTTTCTATCTATCTCTATATTTATTTGTTATTTTTGGTTTTTTGTTTTGTTTTATTTTTGGGGACACAGTCTCGATATGTAGCCCAGGCTGGCCTCAAATTCGTGGCGATCCTCTTGCCTCAGCTTCCCAAGTGCTGGGACTATAGGCCTATGTCACCACGCCTGGCACTTATCTTTTTTCAAAAATCTGGCCTATCCAGGTGAGATTGGCCACTATCTTGTCCATCTCCTTCCTTAAGGCTGCTGGTAAGACTCCAGGAAGGCAACGAGCCACTAACGGCAGAGATCTCCATTGACAAGTAAGTTGAGGCAGGTGAGAGGTAGGGCCGAAGTGGGGGGAACATGGGCAGGTAGGGTGCAGGAGGTACTAGCTTTTTACAATGGGACCCTGGGACTGTCTTCTACCCCTTGCAATCGTATCTCACAGAAATAATAACTCCTCTCTTTTGTTGAGCATTTACTGTGACATACAGCATGTCAAGTACTCATTTCATGGATTAATGACCCCTGAGTTAGGTATTATACAGACAAAGAAATAGGCTCAGAGACATTATGCCTCTGCCATAAGACCACACAGCTAGTGACCTGCAGGGGTAGGTTTGAACCCAGGTCTGTCTGATCCCAAAGATCAGATTCCTAATCGTTGTACTCTTTTACCTCAAATGATTTTTTAAAAATTTATTTTCAGGAATCCTCCTCAATTACATAGGTAGGTACCTAACAAGGAAACTTGCAAACATTTTTGCTTTGTATGCATGACCTACACAACTACATTTGGTCCCTCTGGTGGGAGCATACATGGGAAGGAGGGGATTTGGGTGGGACATGGACAAAGGGAAAAGGGAAGGTCTGAAGTGAAGTGGAACTTTTGTTTATTTTTTTTCTTGCTAAGTAAAAACTCAGACTAACTCTGCTCTTTGTCTCCATCTATCCTTTTCCTCCTATAACAGCTTTCGAAAGTTCAACATCCGGACCTCAAACCAGAAAACTTTGACCCCTGAGAAGGGGCAGAGACAAGGCTTAATTTGGGACTTTGGCTTCCTGGTAAGAAGTATAAGTTGTCATTGTCAATGTGCTGGTGGCTGCATCCAGCTACTTAGGAAGCTGAGGCAGAAGGACTGTAAAAGTAAGTTCAAAGCCAGCCTGGACAACTAGTGAGGCTCTGCCTCAAAGTAAAATTTTGAAAAACAAAACAAAAATTGGGCTGGGAGTGTAGCTCAGTGATAGAGTGATTGCCTAGCATGTGCAAAGCCCTAGATTCAATCCCCAATACCCACAAAAGAAGAAGAAAAGTCAGTAACTTAGGCTTGTAGTCCAGAAGAATGGGCTGGCAAAATTTTCCAAGTCTTGAAATAAAACAAGGGTTTCAAGATCCTTGGGGTCCCCACTCTGGGATTCTCTGTCCTTCCCTCAATTCACAGATGCTTTTGGAGCAACGTACAGGTGGTTCAGGAAAGGGCAACAGTAAGGTAAGGCCAGGACAGAGGACTGGGAGGAGGAAGAACCTGCCGAAGGGGCCCCTGATTTCTGTGTATGGCTGTTGCAGGGTCCGCTGGCTGTGACAGAGGAACTGCACATCATCAATTTCACAGTCAGATACATGTACCAGGGTCTGCAGCTGGATCTGAAAGTGAGTGAGGGAGAGCAGGGAGAGATGAAGTAAACTTAGGAAGAAGGCTCAGGGAGGGGACATCCTTCCACCATGACTTTTGTCCTCTCCCCAGACGGACACTCTCCCTGTGGTGATTATTTCTAACATGAACCAACTCTCCATTGCCTGGGCCTCAGTTCTCTGGTTCAATCTGCTCAGCCCAACCCCCCAGGTAGGAGGTGGGGCTGACAAGTGGAGGGGATTGGAAGCTTGGTTCCAGGGGCTGCTTCTGAGCCACTCTCCTCCTCCCTCTCCTGCAGAACCAGCAGTTCTTCTCCAGCCCCGCTATGGCCCCCTGGAGCTTGCTGGGCCCTGCTCTCAGTTGGCAGTTCTCCTCCTACGTTGGCCAAGGCCTCAACCAGGAGCAGCTGGGCATGCTGAAGGAAAAGCTGTTCGGTACCAATCTTCTTCTCTCAGCCTTTTCCCAGCCTTAGTCTGGCCCAGCCCTTTGTCCTATCCCAGTACCCCTGCCTTGCCCAGCCTTCTGTCATCTGAACCATCTGTGGCTACCTGTCCCACAGGGAAGAACTCTAAGATGGAGAATTCGTTGTCCTGGGCTAACTTCAGTAAGGTAACTCTTTGCATTCTGTACAGCTAGCTCCCAGTCCAAATTCTGGCCTTTCCCCAACTGGGGGCAACTCCATTTATCTCTTCCTGCCTGTTCCCTCCTCCTCCAGCGAGAGAGCCCCCCTGGCAAGATACCGTTCTGGACATGGCTGGACAAAATTCTGGAACTGGTACATGACTACCTGAAGGATCTGTGGAATGATGGGTAAGGCCTGGGTTAGCCTTCACATCCGGGCCTGTTTTTTATGGGCTTTGTACACCCCCATGTGGCAAACAGCAAGAACTAGTGGAAGAGCTCTCTCTTTTTTTTTTTTTTCTTTCTTTTTTTTCTTCCTGTTTTTTAGCAGTCCTGGGGATTGAACCCAAGGCCCTTGCACTGAACTACATGCCAGCAATGTTTTGTTTTCTTTTCTTTTCTTTTGAGACAAGGCCTGACTATCACTAAATTGCCTAGGCTAGATTTAAACTTGAGATCCTCCTGCCTTGGTCTCGCAAAGTGGTGGGATTACAAGCATGAGCCACCATGCCCTGCTAGGAGGTCACATTTTTGAAATAATTGTGGCCTGTATTTGCTAAGCATCTTCTAGTTCTAGAGCCTGCTGCATGCTCTGTGAATTCTCTCATTCAATCCTTGTAACCATACTGAGTGGTCCACCTTTATCTCAGATAAAGAAACTAAATCTTAGAGAAGTTAAAGAACTTACCCAAAGACAGAGTTGGGATTCCAACCCAAGCCTATGTGGTGCTATGACCATGATGACATTACTTGGGTTTTATAAAGTGCTTTTTATCTGTGTGGTCTCACTGAGTCCTCACACCTTTTCAAACCCTGGACTTGGGGGGAGGGTGGGCATCACTACTAAATGGAAGTGACCGAGATGGAAAAGTTTACAAGGGACAGAGCTGAGCCAAAACCCAGAGCTTACTTCACACAAGAGTCAGCAGGATCTCACGGCTGCTCTCTGTGCTCCAGGCACATCATGGGCTTTGTGAGCCGGAGCCAGGAGCGTCGGCTGCTGAAGAGAACCATCTCTGGCACCTTTCTGCTCCGGTTCAGTGAATCATCGGAAGGAGGCATTACCTGCTCCTGGGTGGAGCACCAGGATGATGGTCAGCTGCTCTGCCCTGCCATTCCCACAGCCTTTGCTCTCTGCCTAGGTCACCTGCTGCTACCCTTGTTTTCCTGGCCTCTGTCCTGAATCTTGCATCTGCTTTGGAGTTGGGCAGCCGGGTGGGAAGCCCCCATACCAGCCTCTTCTCTCTAGCCTACCTGTTCCTGCATCCACTCTCCAGATAAGGTGGTCATCTATTCTGTGCAGCCGTATACCAAGGAGGTGCTGCAGTCCCTCCCCCTGACCGAAATCATCCGCCACTACCAGCTGCTCACCGAGGAGAACATACCAGAGAACCCGCTGCGCTTCCTCTATCCCCGAACGCCCCGCGATGAGGCTTTTGGGCGCTACTACCAGGAAAAAGGTGGCAATCATTGGCATACTTCATTCCCAGATTGAGTGCAAGTATCCTTGGACATCCGTAAATCCAACGCCTTCCTTTCAAACATGGGAAAGCCAATAGCCAGAGTACTTAAGGGATTTGTCCGTGACTGTGCTAGTTAGCAAGCAGATAACAGTCGTCAGGAGCAGCTGCATTAGGGGAACCCTAAGCTCGGGGTCCAACAAACTGACCTGTTCGCACCTGCTGTATCCCCACAGTTAATCTTGAGGAACAGAGGAAATACCTGAAACATAAGCTCATTGTGGTCTCTAACAGGTGAGATATGAAGTCTTTCTCCATCTTCTTGAATCCTTTCTACTGATTCAGCAACTCTAATTTGCCCAGTTTCAGTCCCACCAGCCTTCACTGCCTACTGCTCCTCACCCTCTCACCCTCTGGTTTTTTCATTCTTCTTTCTTCGTTGTTGTGTTTTTCAGCTGCCATCCTTAGGGTGATGATGGTCATAATCAGTGTTATTTTTTTTCTGGTACCAGGGATTGAACTCAGGACCTTGTGCATTCAAGGCAGGCATGGTGCCACTGAGCTAAATCCCCAGCCCTTATAATCACTGGTATTAGTGGACACCTCTCTGATGCCAAATGTAGTACTAGATTTTCTAAAAACATTTTTGTTTTGTTATTATTTGTTTGGTTTTTTTTTTTTTGGGAGTCAGGGTCTTGAACTCATGGAAGTTCTCCTGCCTCAGCCTCCTGAGTGTTGGGATTACAGATGTGTCCCACCATGCCTTGGCATCTATCTGATAACAAGCATGATACTAGATTTTCTAACTTACTTTTATTTTTTATTTTTTGGTACTGGGGATCAAACTCAGGACCTTGTGCTTATGAGGCAGGTGCAGGTGCCACTGAGCTAAATCCCCAGCCCTTCTAACTTACTTTCTTTTTATATGTTTTGTTTTGTTTTTAATCTTCTATGTCAACTTTTTTTTTAGCTTCCACATGTAAATGAGTATATATAGTATTTGTCTGTCTTGCTTCAGCTAACATATTGTCCCTTCTATATTGCCAAAAATGACAGAATTTTATTCTTTTTTATGGCTGAATAATATTCAGCTGAGTATTTGATATAATCATCAGTTGATGGACATCTCAGTTGATTCCATATCTTTTTTTTTTTTTTTGAGCTTTTTTGAGATAAGTTCTAGTTCAGGCTGGCCTTGAACTCACTATGTAGCCCAGGCTGGTCTTGAACTTACCATTATTCTCCTACCTCAGCCTCCTGAATGCTAAAATCACAGGCACACGCCACCATGCCTTCCTGATTCCATATCTTGTGAATAGTGGTCCAATAAATATGAGAATATATATATATATATATATATATATATAGTCACATAGATAGAGATAAAATATATATTCACACACACACATATATTTTGGTAGTGGGTACTGAACCAGGGCCTCTGCACTGAGCTACAATCTAGTCTTTGTTTTGTTTTGTTTTGTTTTGTTTCACTTTGAGATGGGGACTTGCTAAGTTGCCCAGGGCTCCTGCTTCAGCCTCCAAGGATGCTGGGATTACAGGTGTGTGCCACCACACCTAGCTGTAGGTGTAGCTTCGATATGCTGATTTCATTTCCTTTGTATATATACCTAGTAGTTAGCTGGATCATGTGGTAGTTCTATTTTTAGTCTCCTGAGGAACCTCCATAGTGTCTCAGAGTGGGGAGTCATTAGTAATTGCTGTACTAATTTATATTTCCACCAACAGTGTAAGAGTTCCCCTTTCTCAGCATCCTCACCAGCACGTGTTATTTAGGCTTTTAAAAAATTATAGTTATTCTAACTGGGGTGAGATTTCATTGTGGTTTCGATTTGCATTCTATGATGAGTAATGATATTGAGCATTTTTTCGTATATTTTTTGGTCATTTGTATATCATCTTTTTTTTGGTACCGGGAATCCAACTCAGGGCCTCATGCTTGCCAGGCAGGTGCTGTGCCACTGAGCTACATTCCCAGCCCTGTATATAATCTTGTGAGAAATGTCTAAGGCCACCCAGCTAGTACATGATAAGATTCAAACTCTTAACAAGGCTAATTCCAAAGGCCATGCTCCACCTCACCTAAACCACTGAGCCCTGTCCTCTTCTCTGTTGTGGGGTATCTAGGCAGGTGGATGAGCTGCAGCAACCTCTGGAGCTTAAACAGGAGCCAGAACTGGAGTCCTTAGAGCTGGAGCAAAGGCTGATGCCAAAGCTAGAGCTGGGGATTGGCCTGGAGTTAGAGCCACTGCTGGAGACAAGGCTGAATCTGGGCTCAGAGCTGGAGCCCGTGTTGGAGTCTATGCTGGAGCCAGGGCTGGACCTGGAGCCCACACAGTTCATGGCATCACAGCCAGTGCCAGATTCAGATTTGCCTCATGATCTGCAACACTTAAGCACTAAAGACATGGAAAGTAAGTATGAGATGGGGGAAGGGAAGAGGAGACACATTCCCTTTTCTACCTGTCCTTCCTCACCCATTACAGAAGAGGCTGAGCTCCAGGCTCCTCACTGGAGAGAGAGGCTCATTTCCTGCTGATTCTTTTGATTAGGAAATGCTCATGCCTCCCCCACCTACCCTGTTCCTCCATCATCCAAGTCCCCAGCCTACAGGCCCCGCCCAGGCCTTTCCTGCCATTCTCCCTTATTTTCCCTGCTGGGTTGGGGACTCCCAAGTGAGATCAGGGCCTGACTTCTGTCTTCGGATTACCCAGTCTTCAGGAACACTGTGAATATTGAAGATATCATGCCGAATGGTGACCCACTGTTGGCTGGCCAGAACGTCATGGATGAGCCTTACATGTCCTGCCCCAGCCATTTCTGCACAGATGGACCCTTGAATCCTGACTGCTAGGATTCAAGCTACATTTCCTGTGTTCCTTCTATCTTTTGTCCTTCCTACCCCTAACATCATGATGCTGCTCTCCAATGATGGGAAATCCAGCATTCTAACCTGGAGTTTGCAGGGAGGTGAAAGCATAACTTGGGTATGGAAGGTATGGTTCACTGGTCCAGTGAACCATAACACATGCTGGCCATAGTTCTGAAAGACTGGCTTGGAGGCTGCCTTCTGCGCTGGGTGGTACAGTGGTCCTAAGGGCAGACCAGGACAGTTGGTAGGTACTTGGAGGGCCAAGGGCAAGGGCTTCCTTCCATGTATGAAAGGATACCAACATTTTAATAGCTTCCACAGTTAAACTGATGCACATTAGCATTAGGCCTTGATGGGAAACTGCACAGACACATGATGGAATTCCACCACCACCCCTTTTCTGTTTTAGGTTTTATTAAACTTAGGACCTCATGCATGTTAGGCAAGTTCTCTATTACTGAGCTATACCCCTAGCCCTTCATTTCTCTCCTCTGGTTCCTCCATTTCTAGGATAACCTTTTCCTTTTTTCTTTTTACTTCTGGCTCCAATCCTGAATTTCTCCTTTTCTGCAAGGGCTGAGAGCTTCCTGCTTCAGCCCACTATGTGAAGCTCCTCTCTACAGGAGGACATAGGAAAAAGAACTCTTCTTACCAGTCTCCTGCTCTTCTCTGTCCCCTAGGCTACCTGCATCTATTCCTCTCCCATAAAATGATCCTGCCATTCTTACATGCCTGAAAAACTTTGTACAATAATTTAGGCTGCCAAATCTCCACTTCCCCAGTGCTTAAGGGATAAAAACCACTCTTAGAGGCTGGGATGGAAAGTTTGCTGGGAATTTGGGAATTGCTTTTTGTAGTATTGAATATAATTTGGTGTTTTTACAGAAGAGAAGTACTCAGTCTTAGCTTTTTTTTTTTTTTTTTTTTAGTCTTAGCTATTTTTCTATTAAGATATCATTGCTTCTTTTGTAAATATATTGTTGACCCGAAGAAGGGAAGATTTCTATTTCTTGGGTATGGACCTGAGCAGAGACCAAGTTCCTAGAATTTAGAACCTTGAATTTTGATCATAGAACCCTGGACATCCTCACACCTTAGCCATTCCCAGGGAACCTCAGGGGCAACTGTCATTGCTCTAAGATGGGTTTCTGGTGTAACTTGGAATGTAAATGAAAGTGAAGTCCTGCACATGGGGCTGTTTTCCTGCCTGGAATGTCAGTGGAACCGTCATCCTGATCTGAAAGGGCCCTTCCTGAGCAGAAATACCTAATAAACTGTCCTGACGTGGAAGTGCCTCATTGCAGAACTTCTTTACTTCTCTGCTCATAAAGATTAAAGTCCTTAAGACATCAGCATATAGGAATGAGGCCAGTAAATTGTGCCTCTCTTCCATTGACCCCGGGAAGCCCCTGTTGTGTTTCTTCCCTCTTGCTTGGATCAGCCCTTCCTGCCCCTCAGACTCTTTAAGGTGGGGGTGAATGGTTATATATATCACTGTCCCATTGTCACTCCTGTGATTGGGGCAATGCCAAAACATAAACCCAGGCCTGGCTCCATGCATGTTCTTTTGATGCTGGGACTATGGAGAAAAACAAAGGAAATAATCATCACCCCCTTTCCTCTTTTTTTTTTTCCCCAAGAACTTTTTCTTTTCTTTTTTTATACAGTCTCACTGTGTAGTTCAGGCTGGCCTCAAATATACAGTGATCCTACTGCCTAAGCTTTCTGAGTGCTGAGATCATATGTGTGTGCTGTCTCACTAGGCTTCCAAACTCCCTTCTGAAGGGTCTACAGGTGTCTCTTAAGGGAGACCCCCAGTCGTTTAGGAGATTTACCTTCATCTTCCTAGAATCCCTTTCCTGCTCAAAACTTTGCTCTGACTTTGATCCTGCAGTGATCAGGGTCCTGTCTTTGGCTATATTCTTGTCCAAGAAAGCAAGGAAGAAGGCTGTGGGTGAGGGAGCAAGCGACCTCAAGGTGTGCCTCCACTTCCTAATCACAATCCCTTGCTGGGGATTTAGCTCAGTGGCCCCATGCCTGCCTCTCAAGCTCAAGGTCCTGAGTTCAATCCCCAACACTACCACCAAAAAAACCCCACCTCAATCACAACCCCTTTAAACCCCATTCTGCTTGTTCAACCATCCACATATTGATACAAAAACAAACAAAAAACACATATTCTTTTTTCTTTTTCTGATTTTTTGAGATAAGGTCTCACTATGTAGTTCAGGCTGGTCTTGAATTCACTAGCCCAGGCTAGCCTCGAACTCATGGTGATCCTCATGCCTCACCTCCTGAGTGCTGGGACAACAGGCGTGTGCCACTATGCCTGGCTCCAAATATTCTTTACATCAGGGAATCATGAAGGAATATCACAGGCTGGGTGTGGTGATACACACCTATAATCTCAGCATGAGGGAGATTACCTGTCTCAAAAAAATCACTGTCCACCTAGCCCTTCAGAATAGGAGAATGGGTGTTTTGTAATCCCTTGGTCCTACTTTCCTTCTACTTTTTTCCAACCGAGCCTAGAAATTAGACTTAGAGAGTCACATAAATAAGTCTTTATTGAAAAAAATAACAATTCTTTTTAAATATAATAAATAATCCTCCCCAAACTGCCCCTCTGAGGATAAATAATACCAAAATTTCCCTTCCCATCTAATAAATATGCAGCTTTGTCACAGGTCAGCATCATAAGTCAGTGTTGGTCATTTTTTAGCAAGCAAGTCCTGGCTTTCAAGTGTCTGGGTAATGGATTCGTCTTGTCATTGCTAAGCCACAGAGAGTTGAATGCCATCCTTAAGCTGTTGGTGTTAGGGGCTCAGAGTTGTGGCTCCATGGGCAAAGACTCGGGCAGCTACAGCCACAAAGGCCTGGAGGCTGCGTAGGATCTTGATACGAAGAAGGAGGCGCTGCCATGGCTGGCTGGGGCTGAGGCTCGGAGTCTGAGTCTCCTGTTGGTGATCCTCAGGCTGAAAGGAGATGACAGTCAGGGTTCTATATCCTAGCTCCCTGCAGGCCCCCACCCTTCAGGCCCCTGGTTCCTACCTGCAGGAGTTGGCTGAGGCCCAGCAGGGAGGCATGAAGCTGGCCTACGGGGCCATCAGGGAGTAGTGAAGGCTCCCCTGTGAAAATGTCTGAGCCCAGCAGTTTCTGGTAAAAAATTAGACCCTGGTAGATCCTCTGCAAACAGAACTAGGGAGGGAAGAAGCAATGAAAGCAGATGGATACTCTTCATTCACTGAAGATCAACCCAGTTCTTTACCATTCTCAGACACAACTTGTAGTTCACTTCCTTGCCCACCCATGTTCCTAGTCCCCTCTGCCTTGTGGCTCAGCTTCATAATAGTGATACCTGACTGTTGTCTTTGAGTCCTTGTGGATCACAGCCATCCCCACACTGGATATGGGGGACATCGTCTGCAGTCTCTTCATCTCCCTCTTCTCTTGGTGGGTCCTGGAATGAAGGAAAGAATATGTACTTTTTTTTTTGGTGCCGGGGATGGAATCCAGGGTTCCATCGTGCTAGGCGAGTGCTCTAGCACTGAAACATCCCCAGCTCACAATAAGTATAAGGCCCAGCAGACCCTCACGCTCATGCTGTCCCAGAGCCCCAGGCTCCTGTCCCCTCTCATTCCCTGATGGTCTTCAATCCTACAGCTTTCACCCAGCGCCACAGCCTCCACCCAACTCTGCAGCCTGTGAAGGCCTGGAGAGGTTCATGCTGTCTGGTCCCAGGGTTAGACACTCACCACATGTCCCACTAATGGATGTGCACTCCAAGCCAGCGTGCAGAGCTTCTGTGACAGCTGCTGGCACTGGGCCCAGGCAGCGTTGTTGCTCCCAGCCACAGCCCGGCCCTGAGCAATCCAGGGGAGCAGCAGTAGCAGCATCACAGCTGTGCTTCCCAGCATCTTGTCATCTGCTTCTGGAATCTGGCTGGCTCAGTGTCTTGCACCAGTCCTGGTGGAATCTCTGCCCACTTCCCCTTGCTCTCAGCCTGATTCTCTCTGTTCTGTGCCTGGTTCTGGTTTGTGCTGTTGTTCACGGTGTTTCTGAGCTGGTTCCCCTTGTTTTTCTCCCTTTGGCTGAGTCTTTTTAAGGACTCTGCAGTCCAAGGCCCGCCCTTTACACTAGCAGGTGACTCACAGCAGGTGGGATTCCCCTCCCTGCATCATCTCCCTCAGTGGAGAGCCCAGGTATGCATCCTCTGTTGCAGGGGAAATGAGTAGTAGGTTGCTGTGGCTAGAGGCCTAGGATGGGACACATGTGTAATGCTCTCCAGGAATTGAAATGGCCTTAGAGGGGTGGGGGAAGTAACAAACATTTAAATTAATCTGGCCTCAAGTTCCTGATTAATGTCTCTGATCTCTTGGCCTCCCAAAGCATTACCCCTACCCCAAAACTAATTTCCTCACTTCCTCTTGCTTGAAAAAAAACAAAAAAAAACAAAATAGAAGCACTTACTCATCTCCCAGAAGGATGGTAAGAGCAAATGGAATGAAGTTCGGTTCCTACCTGATGCCCACTATGTAAGAATAAAGGGCTTCTTTTCCTCCATTGGAAACTGTTATTTTCACTGGTGCTCCTGGCTTCATGGTAGAGGATGGACATGAAGGTACTTTGTTGACTAGGAAGCCATATGAATGCAATAGAAGGTATTATGGCTCCTCCACTTCAGGCCTCACTGTGGAGAACACTTGTGGGGAGAGGTTAAAAACCACCTAATTTTTGCAACCCACTTAATGTCCCAAGGTTTCACGGGCTCTGTGGGATTTTTTTCAGGATACTAGTACAGTTCCCTGCCCCTATCCCATGGCTTCCTTAAGCCTAGGGGTTCTGGGTAGTTGAAGATTCTGTTGAGAGTGACTCCAGCTGGTCCTTCAGCCTGTTGCATCCATGGGTAAAATCCACTGACGCTGATTTCATCACCCTCTCTGATGCAACATCCAGTGAAACAACTTGAGTGTGAGGTTGGGCGTGGGAGTGGAGGGTGGTCTGAAGCTGGGGCTGCCCCAACCCCAGCGGAGGGTCCCAGAACAATTTGGATGTCAGAATGAGCCATGGGTGACCACGCAGCTGGCTCTCAAAGCCTCCCCAAGAAGTTGACTCTTTTTCTTAGAAACTTGCCCTTAATGGAGATCTCCCTTCCCTTAGAACTACTGCCCAATAAAATTTCTGGTTCAAATATTTGAGTCTGTGGTAAATTGACCCTTTAGGTGAAAGATTTCCACCATCAGAGCATTTGGGGTGGGGGGGGATGGTCTGCTTTTCTCTACATAGGGTAGACAGAAATGAAGTTAGAAAGAAGTTAGAAAGGACACAGGAGCCGGGGGTTTAGCTGAAACCAAACAAATGAAAGAGGACACAGGAGAGTTCCTCTTACTTTGCACAGTGTCTCCTATGCTCTTCCTACCTCTGGTCCCCATTCTGGGTACCCTAAATAACTGGAGAAGGAAGTGGAGTCCTGGGGATTAGGATGAGATGGGTAAGAGTGTTCTAAAGGTGTTGGAGGGGTAGAGCTCTGGCTTCTGTTTCACTTCCTGGTGCTGCAGTAGTTGGGTAGGAAGCAGGGTCAAGTGGGGCAACTCTGGGACTGTTGTGTAGCAGGAACTACTTCCAAAGCTACCTCTGACCTGGAGCTCCAAGAAGCCTTGACGTCAGCTGGGCCTCAACCGTTATGCAAATCAAATCACATTCACAAGGACTCCTGGACAGGCCTTCCAGCTGGATGTGCAGACTCCAAATCCTGCTGAAGTTCCCTCAGGTGGTTAATGATGGCTAATATATATTTAACTCCCACTTTATGCCAAATACTTGGTGTAAGCATTTTACGTATATTAACCTATTTAATTCTCACAACAACCCTATAAAGTAGGTACTATTATTACCCCTATATTATAGATGAGGAGTCTGAGGTGCAGAGATAAGTTTGTTTGCCAGTGATCACAAAGCTACAAACTTGGTAGTTTGCAGTACAGATAATCTGGCTTCAGACCTTGTATTTTATCTGGGCATGGTGGCACATGCTTCTGTTCCCACCACTCAGGAGGCTGAAGCAGGAGGATTGCCTCTGATGTTCAGGCCTGCCTGGGGTACATAGTGAGTTCAAGGCTGGATTGAACTATGTAGTGAAACCCTGTCTCAAAACAAACAAACAAAAATTCTTACATACTTTTTCTGTTTTTGGAGACAAGGTCTCACTGTATAGTCCAGGCTGACCTCGAGCTCACGATCTTCTTACCTCACAGATCCTGCATTTTTTAAAAAAAAACATACTGGGGATTCAACTCAGGGCTCAGCTCAGGGCTTTTGCACTGAGCTACATCACCATCCCTTTTTATTTTTATTTTGAGACAAGGTCTCACTTAAGTTGCTAAGTTGTCCAGACTGGGCTTGAATTTGAGGTCCTTCTCCCTCAGCCTCCCAGAGTGCTGAGATCAGAGAGGTGTGTGCCACCACATCCAGCTAAAACCTACTTGCTTTCTATCTGCTTATTATTTTGGTCATTTTGTTTTGTTTTGTTTTTTTGTTTTTGGTACAGGGGATCGAACTCGGGACCTTGCGCTTGCGTGGCCGGTGCCAGAACCACTGAGCTAAATCCCTGGCCCTGTTTTGTTTTGTTTGAGACAGTGTAGTTTGAACTATGTAGTTCAGGCTGGTCTTGAACTCACTATATATCCCAGGCTGGCCTTGAACTCACAGTCCTTTTGCCTCAGCCTCTAGGATTATAGGCATGTGCCACCACACCAGGCACACCAGGCTAGATCATGCATTCTTTTTTTGGGGGGGGAGTGCCAGGGATCGAACTCAGGACTTTGCACTTGCGAGGCAGGCGGCGGCACCACTGAGCTAAATCCCCAGCCCCTAAATCATGCATTCTTTTTTTTTGGTACCGGGGATCGAACTTGGGTCCTTATGCTTGTGAGGCAGTGACAGAACCACTGAGCTAAATCCCCGGCCCAGATCATACATTCTTAATGATTGCACCACATTGGATACTTCAAGTTAATAAAGTGGTCTTTTTTTTTTGGTACCGGGGATAATAAAGTGTATCTTGATTTATAAAGTAGCTTATTTAGCCCAGGATAACTCACATAGGTGTGTGAATTCTTTCTCAATTTGACAGCTCAATAAGGAGATTTTTCAAAGTGTAGGAACTGTTTAGGTCTTTAGCATCAACTTTTTTGTGAGATTTTAAATCTAAGGACCTGTGAAGTCAGATCTGTTTGGGAGACTCTCTGAGTTAAGATGTTTTTCTCTTGGTCTAGTAACTGAGTCTAGGACCTTTTGGAGTCCGGAAATCTAAATTCCGGGGTTCACAGAGAGTGTGTGTGTGTGTGTGTAAGTGCTAGGGATTGAACCCAGGGCCTTGTGCATGCTACGCAAGCACTCTATCACTGAATTCACATTCCCAGCCCTTGGTTCCTTTAATGAAGGTCTACCACCCTTTCTTGGGAGAAATGCCTTAATTGCTTTTTATTTTTGGAGGTGCTGGAGATGGAATACAGGGCCTCTCTCATGCTAGGCAAGTACTCTACTACTGAACTATATCCCAGCCCAGAGAAAGACTTTAAAACCATATCCTCAGTTGGCCATGGTGGCTTGCTCAGGTAATCTCCAGCACTCTGTGAGGCTGAGGCAGAAGGACCACAAGTTCAACTTCAGCCTGGGAAATTTGGCAGTTTAGCAGATTAGCCAGACTCTTACTCAAAAAACTGAAAAAGGGCTGGGGGTGTAGCTCAGTGCAAAGGCTCTGTGTGCAAACAAACTCCGTGAAGAATTTCTTTGATGGGAGTCCTTCTATGTGGCCTTTAGAAACAGTAATGCCAGCTGAGCTAAGGTGCCCCAAGACATCTCACAACCTGGAGCCATTCCAAAGCTGTTCAAACTCACAGCTGGTGCCCCCAAATCCCTTAGAAGTCAGGCTAGATGGTACAGGGCTGTAATCCCAGCACTCTGGGAGGCTGAGGTAGAAGGATTCCAAGTCTGAGATCAGCCTGGGCGACTTAGTGAGACCCTATCTCAAAATTAAAAATTAATAAAGTGAGCTGGGGAAGTAGCTCAGTGCAAAGGCTCTGCGTTCAATTCTCTGTGTGGGAGGGAATCCAGATCAACTGTAAGTGGCATATCCTTACCAAATGTCCCAATTTGCCCAATTTGCTGTACTCATCCCCCTCTGAGAGATAACGTCCAGCTCCTCCGGCTAGGGGAATTTGACAGTTGGGAGGCTCTTGTTCCCTGGGAATATTAACGGGGGGCTCTGGGGAGGGAATAATCATAGATGGGAATTTCAGATGGATGCCTTTAGCACCGTAGAAAATAGTGGCCTCTTGGGCCGAGTCAGAAGTCGGGCTCCCGCTTCCTTTTTCTCTCCCCTATCTAGAAATCATAGGAAAGGCCAGCGAGTTTCGGGGGCACAGGGCCATATGTGGCGGGTTCACAGGAGCTCCACAGGAGAGGGAGTGGACTAGGCCAGGCTGGGAATACCCAGAAGCGTATTCCCAGCGCTTTTTCTTGCGTGCCCCTCAGTCTAGTTTCTAAAGTTATAGAGAACCTAAAAGTTCAGTTTCCAAGTCTGGGGCTAGTTTTGTTCAAGAAAGTTTAAACGATAAAGCTTTGCTTTTCAACATAATGAAACCGACCCGCACTCTCCTCGATTTGTCCCAGTCGGCAGCCCGTAACCTCGTTTTTGCCCAGCCCTGGCGTCACACTCCCTCTTCCGGAAGCCGTCTGTACTTTGCTCCTTCTGATTGGCTTAGATGCAGCCAAGCCCTTCCTGATTAGAAGCAGCGATTGGCAAGTTTGCTCGCCTCCCGCCGTAGGTTCGGATGAGTTAGAGGCGCGGGGGAGAACTGGGGAAACTGGAATTTCCCGCGGAGCTGACGGCGCTTGCTCTCCCCCTACTCGTTTTAATTCCACGCGCACCAAAATATCCGCCATGGAGAAATCTTGGTAATGACCCATTCCCCTTAAGCACCCCAGGAACACATCTGACCCTTGCCCTTATCCCTACCCTCCCTGTCACAGGGGGAGAATTGTGGGTAACCAATTTCTCTGGTTCCCCCAGAGAATTCTGGGTAGCTGTCCGTTTCCATCACCTTCCCCTAACCCCCGCCACAATTGTGGGTAACTGGCCATTCTTATTGATCCCCCTAGAGAATCCTAGCTAAACCACAGCAGAAGATTCTGGGAAACTGTCTTGTC